GTAAGTTAAGTTTAACAGTAGGAAAATGATGCTTGAATACCCCATGAAGAAGGTGATTGGCAAACAGATAATTACTTATAACCAAGATGGCATGTCTTCTTCAAATAAATAATCGACTGAAGTATAACATACCCGTAATTTCTCTCATGTGTTATTATGTAAATATATGAATATATTATGTGAATATATAAAATATGGTATTGTTGTTGTATCAATTGATATACGAAGAATGTAAAAAGAGGACACGCAATACCGCATTACTTATCTTTTGAAACAGACCAGAACAAAATATTATTTTTTGACGCCCGTTAGCGCAAAAGAGACGGTATTTTGTTCTGGTTTGGGAAAAGCTTTCTTAAAAGATTATTTTTCACCAGAGGTTCCAATTCTACGTATGATGCATTACTTATATGATTATTATGTCGGGGTCAACTAGAAGTTTTGTCCATTTAACACCTATTTAAAGTTTTCCATCTTGATTTTCATTTTTTCAGAATTTGGAAGGTAAAATAAGGTAAAATTTTCCATCACGATATTTATTTTTTCAGATTGTGGAAGGTAAAATAACTCAATAAGTTTAATGAAAAATAATAAAAGAGTTTCCGTTGACATATATGTCATGTACGCATATTGCAGTGTTGCCCGTGTTACGGCTGTCAATATGTATATCAAGTTGTTCCAAATTTGTTTGAAGGTGGTTGACAATGTTTCGTGGTGTATTTCATCAGTTCGGACTTCCATTATCTAATATAATATAAATTGATTTGAAATCTCTGAAAAAAATAAAAAAGAGAAATTACAAGGAAATAACATACAAGCTACAACCAGAAAATAAAAAATTGAAATATTAATAAAAGATGAAAATTGAAAAATAATATTAACAAAAATGAAAAATAAAAATAGAAATTAAAAGATTCCAAACCAAGTTACGTCACGATCCACAATCGTCTTCGGGTGATAACTGGACTTACTCCTCAGAGATCTGACTATTCATAGGTCATTCGGGTGCTTTCACCTTTCACCTATCCCCTCTTTCCGCTTCATTGGTTTTAGCGGGAGACGACCGTTTGGCGGGAGTTGGTCGTTTTTCGCTTGATAAGAGGTTTTACATATGTTACGTATCTCTACGCTAGCTTGACTAAATGCGTTGTTAAACAACATATACGCGGCTTCCTTGAATTTTCTCCTGAACCAGTGTTTCTCTTTTTGTGGATGATTTCAGCTTGAGCCCATTTGAAATTATGTTGATGAGTCCAAACATGCTCTGCTATTCCGGATTTGCTGGTTTCTCCTCGATGTGTGTGTTTCTTGTACTCAGCAATGCGAACTTTCAATGGCCTCTTAGTTTCACCGATGTATGATTCTCCGCACTCGCAGGGTATCCGGTAAATGCAATTCTTGGAATCGCAGTCCGCGTTCGGTGGCTTGGTTTTTGTGAGGCTGCTACGGATAGTGTTCCCAGATCTGAAGCAGGTCCTGATGTTATACTTCTCTTCCTTGTGGAGCACTTGCTGTCTTCTAGCTTGGCTTGGTTTCGGTATGTTAATTAAAACAGCATCAGGTCAACTACTCCAATGATGTTGCTTATATGAATAACGAATAACAAAATATGTAAACATATATGGGGTTAATACCATAAGTATAAAATTTCGTAGGGTAATTATAATATCGCGTACCGTACAGAGAAGGAGATATGAACACCTGAAAACTCTGCAGGCTTCATTCTGTCATCTACGATTTTTTCCCTAAGGTTGCGCATTATTAACCAGCATTATTAACCAATGACCACTTTCCATACCGTGGGGTAAGTGATCCGAGAATCACGTGCTCTAAGCAAGCGATTGAGCTAAGAATGACAGAATTCTGCATTTGTTCAGCTAAAGCTGCGTCCTCGACAGTGTCGATCGACATTGTCTCCTTGGTGTGTACGTGATACTCGACTTTGTCGATCGACAAAATTTATCGATCGACATGTCGATTTGTTTTCTATCGATTGTTGGTGAACATAAAAGTGTGTGGATGTGTTTTCGACTTTCGATATTCGACAAAGCGTTAGTACTCAGTGAATTCTTGCCTTGGTGACATCGTAGCCTTTATTGAGGCATACCAACTACAAAGAAATCTATGGGATTCTAAAACCAAAAACTATAAGAATAGAAACTTGAGACATGATGCCCTTATGGAAATTGCTAAAGAACGTCAAGAAAGAAGCGGTAGAACAAAAAATTAGAAATCTTCGAAGTCAATTGGCAAGAAAAGTAAAAAACAATAAAGGGCACCAAGAAATCTGGCTCTGGTATGGAGGATGTGTATGAAAGTAAATGGTTTGCTTTTAAAGCCATGAAATTCTTACTAGACAAAAATAAGCCTAGGCAGATGTTGGATTCGACTGATCGACAAACATTTAGGTCGACTCGGTGTGGACAGATGAAGTTTTGTCGCTTGTTGATCTAAAATGTCGATCGATAGTGTCGACTCAGTGAGGACGCAGCTTAAGCTTTCTGCCCTATAGCCTGGCCACGGGACATTCGTCGATGCGAATATTCGCGCGGTGCGAATGGCGAAACGTCTGGCGACTGAAATAAACGCATATAAATGTATTCATGAAGCCACGCGCAACGGCGACCGGCAAAGCGACCGGCGAAATGTACCGAGCGAACCGCGTAGGCGACTTGCGGCGCGGCGAGCGAGCTAAACAAAGGCATGAATCTGTACGGCGCAAGCCACGGAGTCGAGCGGCAGTCGCGATAGTGCAGTGATCAAACGGGTTTAGTTGTTTAAGACTGATTAGAAAGTTAGAAATTCATTATTCATTTTACCGTCAATCACAAGTTAGAACTTATTTTTTTGTTTTAGTTGTACGAAAAATTATTGTCTTGTAATTTATATTTTTGCAATAAATAACATAATTATCTGAAAGTGTTTTTATTTCATGAAATATTAATATACAGTGTATATTTAATTAGCTGATAATATTTTGGGCAAAGATAGTTCCAAATAAATTCAATTATAAAAAAATCCGTTTGCGACCATTACTTTCTTGGGAAAAGTTGTTCATACTGATGAATACTATAGGTAATTCTCCAAAACATGATCAGCTAATTAAATACTACCTTTATACATAGGTTTATAGATAAATACGTAATGTAGATTAATATAGATGGATAAGTATAATGTCAAAAACAATTTTTCAGCGGCACTTAAAATTCTATTTGCATTAACTTTTTTCTCCAATTCTGGTTGAATATTCATAAGAATATAATCGAAGGTTTCAAATCATGTACTCCACAATCTTTCATAAATATTAGGTCTTGAACCAAAAAACTATTACTTTCTGAAAAATATCGAGATAATTTCGATAAAAACATTTGGCGGTCGAACTACTGGTCGCGGTGGCGAACGTTACTGCTCATGTCCTGGAAACGATGCCGCGCGAATGGTCGCTTCGCCTCCCGCTTCGACGTTCGCACCGCCGATCCCCGTGGCCAGGCCGTTAGTGCGACAAGTCGGCATGATCTTGAGATTTGAGAGTAGATAAAGCATCATTCCACCAAGGACTCCAATAATGAAAGCAACCATCTTGACAGAGTGGTTTAGATAGAGTATGTGGAGTTCGAAGAGAAAATATCGATATTATATCCGTTTCTCTTATTCTTTTCGGGCGATAGACGTCTCGCCAGGAGCTGGATACTCCACGATAAATATTGTCTTGCTGCGATGGTGGAGTAGAACCACGTCGGGCTTATTAGATGGTGTGAGCCTGAGGATGGGAAGTGAATAGTTTCAATCAATTCGGCACTTCTTGCTCCCTACAATGGATTTTATTTCCCCCGGAGGGTAAGGCAACACCGGTATCTCGTCAATACCTGAAGCCCCGATGCATTCGGGAGTGTGGTCATCCAATAACCACTTTCCACTCCACTCTCGGATGCAATAATCACTTACTCCACACGGTGGAGTGAGAATCTTATGCCCTAAACAGACGCAATGAGCCATGACTGACAGTCTTCTGTATTATCATCATTTTTATATTTTTTTTATAGAAGGGGTTCTGCCGATCGGATCCTGTCCCCGAAACCTCGTCACATACGGTTGGCGTACCGGTACCACTAACCGCTTACCGTGATGTAACCCTGAAGAGGCATAAGCCTATAGCAGAGCTCCCCTCTTTCCACCAATGTAACTGAAAACTAAGGTAACCCAACTGAGAATAAACGTATTGAATTTGAAGCGATCACTGGGTCTGAGAATCATTATTATTATTACGAGCAGCTGAATCATTGTTGTTCAACGTAACTAAACAATTTTGCATTTTTTCATTCCCCCCTTTGGCATCAAACCGGCATCGAAATGAATCGAGTTAATACGTTATATATTGATATTTTATATTTAATTATGAATGTTAGAATTATGTTGTACATTTGTTCATTGAGTGTAGCTAAAATCTTGCATTTGACTTTGCCAACTTATTAGTACAATGTGGTCATAGTTCTTCGGTCTAAAATATCCGTGAATCCAATAAGAGATTGTTCGAGGAAGAATAGTGTTTACAGAAGGCTCATCGCTATCTAGTCTGAAAATCAGACCATGAAAATATGAAACAAGCAGGGAATTACATTTATTAATATTACTAGGTACCTATTGAGAAGTTATGGGAAAAGGAATTGCAGTAATAATTATAATAATTATTTTGAGAAAAAATAATATAAGAATTCGAAAATTATATTCAAAACTGTTGAATAGTAGTGGCTATGCATTGTCCGAGAATTTTGTTTTGTTAAAGAAATACGTACTCTACATCTTTTTTTTTTTGAGAAATACGCATAATCTGCAAAAATTTCGGAATTATTCATATGTTTATTTAAATTAGTAACATTGTAGTCTAGATAAATCTAATTTATTGTGATGTTCATTTCTGCTGGAAGCAACCTGTAGTACCACTTCATTTAGTGTTTTTTTTTATATTAAACATATTCAAATAATACATCTGGTCTTTGGGAATTCAAATTATTTCTCGTGCTATTTGTTTATTGTTTCAAAAGTACAAAAATAAATCTAGGAAGTAGAGTATTACAAATTAATATTATCACAAGGTTTTTTTCTTCGCAACAGTCGAAAGTCGTTGGTACAGTTATAACATTTGTCAAAAAATTTTAATTGTGAGTCGATGTCCCACAAGGTTTTCTATGAACATTCTGTTTTTAAGGAAGTATTTATATATTTACTGACAGGTAACAAGTATTCGCCAGAGCAAAATTGAGCTCCATGACTTCTTGTCGATTGTCAAACATCTAGGTGTGTTTATTTGTGATTCATGTAGGTTGAATATGTCATTTCATCAGTATATAATGATCAATATTTATTATATTATATTATATGTAGCATATAGTATAATATTATATATGTGTCGAATACTTATTTATTCCTTTCGTTAAAGGAACTATAATTTGAACTTTTTGTGCAGTGATTTGATACTGTGATATAGTAGTGTACTATGAATCCCAAAATAGCTTCATAGTACTACAGGTACCGTTTCAACATATAGATAACAAAAAATTTGAACTCTGAATCCCTACGTGATTGCATACAGGTTGAGGAACTAGATTTGATTTGATTCCAGGATATTGAAAATTTTGAGCTTTGTAACCCTGTATGGCTGCATAGTATTAGAGGGTGACTACATAATCGAGATTTGATGCTAGATTATTGAAACCATATATATACAGGATACAGTACTTGGATTTTCTAGAAAGGTTCTACCATCTATCACGACTTTCGACTCTTACTGATAATTCTTCTCTCTAATAGTGATGGCCGCCGTACCCGGATTCGAAGCCGGAGCCTCCTAGGTGAGGTTTTGGCTCGCCGATTTTGTGAACGACCGCGTTGAAACCGTTGTGTTTGTCAGCCTGGTATTCGACGACTCGCGTTGTTCCGTCGGCTTCCTTCAGCGAGTACGACCCTTTAACGTCATCGCCATCTCGTTCCTCGTATTGCTGTTTTTCATCACCGGTGTGCGGGTCGTGGACGGCGTAGTTGAATTTATATCTAGGGTGTTCCTGCAACGAAAACGTGAAATTTTTTATTTGATAGGATTCATATTCACGGCAATGTACGTATTCCCTGGGAATGAGTTCTTACGGGAATGTGTAACCGTTATTTTTTGAATTGATTCCTATATAAACTTGATGGGAATTGTTTAGAAATAGGTATTACAAAACTACTTGAATATTTTCACGAGAGTACACTGTCCGTTTCTCGTGTTCATGGAAATTGATTCACATAATAATGTATTGTTAAAATTCCCCCCTATTATTTGAATTCATGATTAGCACTCCCTCAACATTTTAGAAAAATTTCACTAGTTCGGACTTCCATTGTCTACTATATAAAATGATTTGAAATCCCTGAAACAAGTAAAAAAGAATAATTAAAAAAGAATAGTTGAAAATAACAATTATATTAAGCAACAATAAACCTGAAATGAAATGATAAAATTCATCACGAAACATTGTCAATTACCTTCAAACAAATTTTAGAAAAATGTTTCTCAAATATGACGGAAAACTAAATTGATTGATGTAGCCGTTACTACGTGGTATAGATCATCAAATGAAAGATGAAACGTTCTATGTTTTTTATCATTTTTATTTGTAACCATCGTTACTGCAGTTTCATGAAATCAATAAGGATAACATATGTGAATAATAAAATATAACGCATATGCCCAAAAAAAACATATTTTCTATATTTTCCTTTTGTCTTTTTTTACCACAACCAACGGCATAAAACAAAAAAGTAAGTTTGGAATTCATTCCACCTTATGACTTCATACTACTCATAACCTCACTTTGGCGTGTATACTTTTTATAAATTATTTATCTATTTCTAAAGCCAGTTGAGTGATATATACATTTATCGTTTCCTATTGCTATATGATACACGTTGTACCACATTCTCCAGCAGTACAAAACCAACATTTTATTCAGTAGAATAATTTTGAAGTATGACTCAATTTTTGAATATTGTGACCTTTCAGATAGTGAAACAGACACTTCTGTAGAGTTATTGTTATTTTTCAACTAGATTTTCTGTCTTCTCGGTAATTCTTTAATTAACTATATGCATGTTACTTTTTTCTATATGTGAATTTCAACTGTATGTACTGATAATTTACGTGAAAAATGAGAAATAAAATTTTCTATGTTTTTACGACTTGTATTTTTCACGAACGTTCCATAAACTCTATACTGTATTCGTTTAAACTGTCCTTATTTATTTCCCATTTTTCATGATGATCCCCTTCCACGTGCTAACGGCTGCATCTATCAATTTATTGATAATTTTAGACATAGTTTGTCACTATTAGATCTTACATTAAACTTTCAATAATCTTCAGATTTTTCTATAGAGGAAATATATAGCTATACTGAAGAAATAGTACAAGCAAAAATATGTAGTATCGAGTAATGTCTGAGACTTCAGCTTACAAATTCTAGGAACAGCTGTACCTGCCGCGTCATAAAAGTTACACTAGCTAGACTCTTCAGCATAACTACAATATGAGGTGAATTATTTCTATACAGATATAAGCGTAATGAATTTTTTTTTGTAATCGTAAACGTCTGCCAAACTTTCAGATAATAGCATAACCTGCACGTACTTTGAATTTTTGTCTTATGTCTTATGTGTCATGACCCATATTGATATTAGAAACTATATGGGTTCACATTATCATCGAATTATTTTATCCATTCATAGCACAGTACATTTCGATAAAACTTCGAGCTTCAAATTACAATGTCTCCCATGGGAACACAATCCGCTGGTAATTTTAATTATCGGAATTATTTCTGATAGATATCCACTATGGTAAAAAGTATTCAATGAAGCCAAGTCGCTTTGGTGTATCGCTTACTCCTACAGAAATTCACTCATGTGGTAATACTACATATCGAGTTTGGAATACATTCCCAAGATACGGATAGCCGTTGGATACTTTAAGTATTTGAGCATCGATTCCATTTTTTTGACTACAAAATTCTCATTATTCCAAGTGGTGATTTGTTTCCATTATAATAATGAAGTACTTAAATAATATTTTTTTTTCAAATTCATTCATTCTAGAGAAAATAGTTTCACATGCAAATTTGTCTTCAACATTACTCATTTTGTAGGTGGCACTATCGCTAGCTTTAAGAGGTCACTGTGAGTAGGTTTTCTATTTACTGGATCAATTTATTTTGGAGATCGATTCCATAGAATACATGTGTACTTCCAGAAGGTAACATGGAACATCGATTCGATAACAGTAAAAAGATATATCTATTCTCATGGCGACATATTTGTATAGGAATTCATAAAACAACCCTAAATTATAGTTTTGGAAGATGAAATAAAAATAGTAGTTCAATAAATCGATAACTTACATAAATGTCTTCGTGTCCTCCGCCATGACCGCCTTCATACCCTCCTTGAAGGCCGATACTGTGGCCTCCTTCGAAACCGCCACCTCCGTAACTTTCCTCCAGACCCCCGTTCAAATATCCAGCTTGTGACATGACTAGGTAGGCTAGCCCGAAAATAACCTGTGAAATGTTCGAATAATGAACTTTCCTAAAAATAGAATACAAGCTACTCCGTACCCCAGTAAATTGTTTGATATGATTATGTTGACATTCAAAACACTTTCAAAGTGCCAAAATGACCTATACGATCCATTTAAGGTTTAACTAGTTGGATTCACGTGTTGAATAAAATATCTCTCAAGTAAATTTCAAGTCGTGTTTTTCGAATCATCAGTCACAAATTTCCTTTAGAACACAAATTCTTTTTTGACTTCAGTAATTGAGTTATATTGTGAGAAGGCATTGTGGTACCCAAAATATCTTATGAAATAATGTCAGACGTATACAAAAAATATCAAGATAGAAGCATAAAAGCGAAATGATTCTCAGTAATGTTTCGGAAATATAAAGCAGTTGAAGTGTTCAAAGAGTTTGCAGATATCCCTTGAAATGTTTCAATTTTTATTTCATTCCAATATTTCTTCAATTCCGAAAATTTTCTAATGCCTTTCGAATTGAATCAAAACTATAGTTGAAGCTGTCTGGAGTGTTTGAGAAATTTCGGTTTACCAATAGGATTTCGTTTGAACCTAACATTTTTTTGAATTCCTTCCAAATTGACTTGAAGCTAATCTGTCATGAGGTCGAATGGTGTCAAAAATGTCAAGTCATGTTAGGAATCACACGTTAAAAGGTAAGACCTCGTTAATCCTTAGCTCGCACAAGTTTCGACTTCTGAGAGTTGTCGTTCGTAGGGGTGCGACAGCTGGTTAACGGATAAAACAGAACAGAACAGGAAATCGTCTTAAATCTAATACGAGTATATCTCTGAACTCAGCATGAATTCAGATTATAAAAAAAATAATGTCCAAAATGCCATCTAAGACTTATTCAAATCATGTTTTAGAATCATCTGGAACGTCGATAGAGACTATCTGAACAGTTTATGATGTTTAAGGCCTTTTTAAATATCCATCGGTTTTTCTCAACTGCTTTGAAAGTTTAGGAAATATATCTCTTATGGCGTTTCAGAAGCATTTACAGCCAGGTTGACTTCAACTAGTATATTAAAATACCTGCCAACGGCCTTTGAAACTTAATTGAGGTCGAATTATGACGTGTTCCAATTTAAGGCACAGAGCTAATAGGTACACACCATAAACCACATTCTATAAGAAGTAACTAGGGAATATTAAAGTATCAAAAAATCTGACAGAGAAGTCATTCAAAGGATGAATGCACTTTCAAGAGTCGACCAAAATAGAACAATCACCAATTCATGATGTAAAAGACGCCGAACATTTCTAAATACATGCTTTATCGATATGAACAAATTATTTATTATATTTGTAACGAAACCATATTTGTAAAGCATAATTGTTCACTTTTCGAACAAAAAAGAAGTCTAAATGAAATCGTACCTCAATAAATGATATCTCCCTAATTACAACATATCTTTCTTAATAACTATACTTTTTATCAATATGTTACGTAATTTATATTCCTAGTGGTTGGATACTTTTTATTTTTGATGAAAAAGTATACTGAAATGACTGAATATTAGAGAAACCTCTCAAGAGTAACCAAATTTTGAGAAAATTAAATGATAAAAAAAAAATCTAAAACGATGTAGGGATTGAAATATCCTCACAGGATGTAGAATGTTTACGTATTTTCTGTAAATGCCTTGATCGTACTAATCAATTTATTATTGAGGAATTTATTGGGCTGAAAGAGACCAAAATATACCAGGGAGGGGGAGATAAAACACTCTCAAAGTGAAGTTGGATACCAAAGGGTTCAAGGGCTAAAAGTGTTTTGAAATCTTCAGGTAGGCTGTTAACGCCATAAGTTTTTAAAATATCGCAAGAATATCTAAATTGTTCAGAGATGCAACCTGACCCTTTTATTAATTGATAGTTTTTGACGTTTTGACCTTCCAAAATCTGAAAAAAAAACTAGATCAACAGATAATACGATCTAATGTAATAAAGGGAAAACCGAAAATTTTACCTCGAAGAGTTGCTGAACAATCTAAGTAGTCAGTAACTTGTATTCTTATATTTTATTATTATATATGTAGTGGAGTCTCCCGATTATTGCTGAAAATCCATAACGTATTGACATTTTCACTACACAGTTCACAAAACCGCAGCACTTGTTTCGCTATATAATGGCTTCTTCAGGTGTGTCTATACTTATTTTTATCTTTATCTATACTTTATATTCTTTATTTTATTATCAAGTAAGTTCAATTAATAGAAAAAATAATTTATATTTTCAGATATTCTTCACAAATAGCTAATGTTTAGGAAAGCAGTCTCTTCCTTTTCTCAAATTCCAAATCTAAAAGAAAGAAGCATCTTTATGTAAGTTACCCAGTAACTTTCCGAAATAAACTAAGTTTGTTCTTTTGTACACTAGATCAGGTTTTCTGTTGATCTTAGACTTATTTATTTTCGAAATTTAGGAAGGATAACCAAAAACATCAAGAAACGGTAACTACCCCACAGAGAATCCTTTCAATACATTGCAAGATAACTATTTCGCTCTCCCCAATATAAACCAATGTATCCACTATACACGAAAATTCACTGAAACTCACTTTGCTGCAGGCGAACATTTTACGTATATGGTAGGTGGTATTTTTTTTAGTCGATGGACACGAAAACCTTGTCTGATGCATTCAAAATTGTTCGGCGAGTTTTTATAGCCCGCTCCACCTATCCTCCCTGAAGATCCTCCCTGTTGTTCTTCCTTCCTGAACTTTCTCTGCGGTTCGATTTGTCAATGCAAGTGGAAGGCGTTTGCATTTTTATCGTTTTGTTTGCGTTTCGTTCAATGCAATATTTTAGTGGTGATAATATTTCTGAAAATCAGATATTTGAAGATCTATTGTGCCTGTTACTATCTGGAAAAATAAGCTCTATCCTTTTTTATGATACGTTCTTCAATGTATGATCACATTCACAGGATGACTTTATTAAAAAATATATGAACGTATATTAATAATCCAGTTATTAGATGACAAATGAGGACAGTTAAAATGAGACTGAATTTTGATATTTGAAAATGTATAGTGTGATTAATTTTTTATGGTATTGTATTTCTTACCTTTCAACAGGTTTTTCTGAAAAACTCTGAGTAAGCAGATTTTGATCCTGAGTTTAAGAATGCAGAGTGGTTGATCCAAATCAACAAAAAATTTTTTGGATGAGTTAGGACACTTTTTGTGTTTGAAGTTATTTATGAAAACTCCCAGTTCTCAGAAACTATTTGAAAACGGGACATCTAGACTGAAATTATCCAAAAAATACAAATTTTAGCCTTTTTTGAACTTGAAACGAATAATAAAAAATCCTAACAAAATAAGTGCCAAATAATGGAGAACCAGTTGAATTTTTCTTGAATTAATTTTCTTGAGATGTGCAAAACAAATTGAGGAAGAGAACAATAATAATGAAAATTTTTTGCCAAAAAAATTATCCTATCAAATTTGTCTATTTCTAGTCATGTGTGTCGAAATAACCAATGAAACCATCATTACACTGATAACTACCCATGGATAGTTTTCACGGGTAGTTATCACTTATGTCATGACATTGCTAAGCAACCAACACAATAAAGTTGTTTGACATTACGTTAGTTATCAATGTCCTTGGGATATTATAGCTGATAACAGCCAAGCGGCTATTAGACCTCGTCTTATCAAAGCACCTTGAGTCGAGTGGGCTGAAGTCGGAACTGGCCTGACAGGATGGTATCTTTAACACTTTAGTCTATACTGTAACCGCTTAATGGGTTTAAGTTCTTGACACCAGGTGCAGGGCCTGCCACGAGGCGTCTGGACCATAATGCACTTGCTGTCGGCATGTCCATCATATGCGGTCTCGGCCTATATTCATCGACATAACGCGGCCCTGAAAGTGCTTCATTACCAACAACGACACTTTTACGGTATTAACGAGACACCGATGTTGCCTTATGCTCCGGAGTATATTGAACCTTTCGTGAGAAATGAGAAGTGCCTACTTTACTGGAACTATTAATTTTCCACCCTCAGGCTCATACAAGCCAATTAGCCTAATGTAGTTCTTTTCGACTGTCAGAACAATACGGTATTCGTGTTGGAGTTTTCAACTTCAGGTGAAACGAATTTCGTTCGAAAAAAGAAGGAAAACTGGATGAAATTTCGAGATTTTCTCTTTGAACTTCCTAGACTCTATCTAGACCAGTCTATCAAGATGGTTGTTTTGATTTTTGGAATCTCTACTCTTGAATTTCAAGGTTATCTGGCTCGCCACACTAAGGGAGAAATCTTTGCCGGACAAACGCAGCAGGTTTTTATTCTTGGTTCATTGAATCTGTTTTGGGCACACGATTCTCGGTCCCAATGATCATTTATCTCATGGTATGGGAAGTGGTCATTTGTTGATGATGCTAGCGCGCCCTAAAATGATATAAAAATGTAGCTCCTTTGAACAACTATTACTTTTAGAAATGTCACATGTAACATAATGTGGGACATCCGGTATACATATCAATCATATTTTTTCCAAATTATCGAAATTTCTTGTTTGTGTTTTAGGAACAAATAATTCAAAACACGCCTTACAGAGAAGTCTAGTCTATATCCGAACCGGATATAATAATGTCAGGTCAGACAGGTCAGCCCCTGTAGGGCTTGTGTTTTGTCCTTAAAAAAAGTCGATTTTTCCGAATTCATTAGAGTCAAGAATGACAGCTTACAAATTTTTCAGAACTGTGTTATTTCGGAACGGTAAAACAAAATATATGCTTATCAGTGTCACTATTTTTCGGGTTCGAAGGCCGTGGATTTTTCGAATTTCTCTCTGACGTTTCGCTGACGCAAGTGGCTAGCTTCTTCAGATGTTTATACATTATGCTTTTGGTAATTAGCGAATTTTTCCTAGTTGCAGGTGTAAATAAAAATGTTGATAATTTTCGAAATTGAAGCTTGGGTGTCAAAAAATAAGTACAGCATTGAAAAAAGATTTAAATAATCCAATATATTCATTCATGAATGATTCGATACAGTATATCTCGCCTTGTGTTTGTAGATCTTTTGCAGGAAAAATTCACTTGTTTACTTTGTACTACATGTTCAAGAGGTAGCAAAAACATATGTGACTTTCTGGAACTTCAACTAGCGTTTCCTAATATGACTGATAACCAGTCCGTGCAAAGTTTATTGTTAAATCATCTGAAAATAGAACTTCTAACGGGTGTTGATCAACTGTATTGCCAAATATGCGCCAAACTAACTGACTATTATAAGACAACAAGTATGACAACAAGTATAGCTGAAGCACTAGTCAATTTAATGATAACATTTGTTGCTGATACCCAAGGTGTATTTGAGTATACTCCTGGTAAGCAACAAATTCAAAAAACACTATATTCCAGAAAAAAAGAACTGTTTCAAGGTAGTAAGAACAGGAATAATTTAAAAAAATATTAAAAATCAGCCGATCAAGAACAACTATTTTGTTGCTGATTCTCGGAGTGTATTTGAGTATCCTCCTGATGAGCAACAAATTTAAACCACTTTTCCTTCCAAGGAAAACTAGTTTCAAGATAGCAAGAACGTGAAAAATAAAAAAAAAAGATTAAATCGGCCGATCGGTTTCAACTATTTTTTTGCTGATACTCAAGGTGTATTTGAGTATACTTCTGGTGAGCAACAAATTTCAAACACTTTTTATTCTAAAGAAAACCAGTTTCAAGATAGCAAGAACGTGGAAAATAAAAAAAAATATTTTGAAAATCGGCCGATCGGTTTTAAGTATTTTGTTGCTGATACTCAAGTTGTATTTAAGTTTACTCTTGGTGAGCAACAAATTTAGAACATCTTTAATTCCAGGAAAAACCAGTTTCATGATAGCAAGATCAGAAAAAAAATATTAAATTTTTCGCTATATCCAAGGTTTAGCAACTAAATAGTAACTAAATCTTCTGTAAGGATCAAAGGAAAAGTAAATGATTTATTGAGTTACCTTGCTACCTTAATATCACGAAAGCATTATTTGCGATTTCTAGGGATTGGCACGAGCAACAAAATCATTGTTTTGGCAACTAATTAGCAACTATTTAGCTACAAATTGATGTATTTTTTTTGCAATTTTGCTTGGTTCGCCATCTAGCCTGATAGGGCTATATTTCAATGCATTCAAAAAAGCTCCAAGCTTTAATTTTGATAATTATCAAGGTTTTTATGTAAACCTTCAATTAGAAGAGAATTGTTAATTAACAAAAGTATAATTAATTGAATAGAACTGGCCGATACTTGATGAAAATCTATATTGAAACTAATTAATACAGTTTATTGTATAATTTTCACTATACAATAGCTTCCTCAAGCGTAACGCTTGAGGCGAAGCGAACCTGTGTCGCGGTTTTTGTAAATCCCTTTATAGTGAAAATCATACAATGAACTGTATCAATTAGTTTGAAAAGCGTGTTTCAGAGGAAAATTGCTATATTTCGGTTTACTCGACTTTTCACCAAGTATTCGGGTATCCGCCGAGTATCTAATTTTTTTTATTCCTCATTATTCATATTCAACGGGTTGATTTTTTTTGTTGAAGCAACCGAAATGCACGTTGCATGTGCCACCCGAACAACCCAATTTTACACGAATTTTCACCGCTCAATCGAAACTATAAATACTGGTGCTACAGTTTCGGGAGGAGGTAAACAAAAAGCCGATATTCATTGAACGGCAAAAACTGCCAATTGTTTTGAAAATATCTAACTTTAAGATTTAAATTAAAAAATAGCTTATTTTAACGACTCAGTCAGTCAGTCGTTGCTTCGTTTTCGCAGTCAAGGTATATGTTGATGTTTCTGCAGTAGCAAACGAATCGTTTAGTACTCCAGATTCCATTCGAGCACGGCCTACCCCTCTGGATTTTGTTCTCTTCAAGGCAACGTACATTCGTATTTGAAGCATTGAAATTTGAAAAATCAAAACTAATAATGTTGGTTTTCAATTGACAGTCCACTCTATTCACCACATAGTTCGCAGTCATACTAATTTCCCTCGGTAAAATAACTCAGGTTTTCTGATAAAATTTGACATCCTCACGTTCACTGATTCTTGAAATTCCGACATGGATAGGAAAAATCAGAGCTGGTCCTAAGGACACTCTTAAGTGGACTAGATAGCTAATTTACGATTTTAATACTTCTACTCTCTTTGGGAAAGTGAATTCAGTAAAAACTTAATGTAACAATGATCATTATTTGTAAGTGAAAAGACCAACCATCTTACTATTTCAAAAAACAATGATAAAGGTTCTGATCCTAACATGCCATATGTTCAGTTCAGTTCATGATACGTAATCGAGTAGTCGAATTGTAAATCAGCTCCAAGCAAAACGCGTATTTGTGTCGATCCTTCATTTAAAACTTTTATACAATTTTTACGGTTTGTCAAGTGAAGTGTAAGCTATTAGAAAATAAAACAATGAGCTCCACAAGAAGCAAACAGGAACTACAATCCATCATCAAAGATACCATCACCGAGCTATTCTCGAGTGAGGAATTTGTCATGAATATAACAAAAACCATAGCAGCTAGGATCGAACAAAAAACAAAGCAACTTGAAGAAGAAGTAAAAACCATGGATGATAAAATAAAAATATTAGAGATAAAAATCGATTCTCTCCAACAACAAGAACGAATTAATAATATATGTTTATACGGGGTGAATGAAGAAACCGAGAAGAACCTGAAAAATAAAGTAGTGAAATTGTTGAACGAGAATATTGACTCCGCCTTACAGGACGAGCATTTATTAGACATATA